GAGCCCGAGGCTGCAGATCTTAAAGGATGAGTAAACAAGCCCCGGACAGTCAAAGGGAGGAGCGGATTTCAGGAGGAAGAGTGTGTACAAAGATAAGAAGATGTAAGACAGTATAGTGATTTCAGGGAGCCCTCAGACTTTGTATATGAGACTATGAGAATGGCAAGATATGTGTTTGCTCATAGGCCTTACATTCTTTAGTGAAATGTGGGGACTTCACACGTCAGGCAGTGGAAAGCCAATGAGGAGTTATAAACAGGAATACGACATGATCAGACTTGAGTGTCTGACAGATGGGTTATGGTGAAAGGCACACCCAGGGCTTTTAGCAGATGTAGTGTTAGATGGTCCCCTGGTACAGAGGTCTGGACTGTGAGAAGAGAGCAGGGTGAAAGAAAAAGAGGACCAGTCCAACAACACAGTGGCAGACTAAGTGCCTTCCCCCCTACGAACACATCACAAGGCTGCATAATTAAAACAGAATTTCAGAGAGCAAGAGGGAAGTCTTTGGGTGGCAGATACTAAATGATCCAAAGCCAGAGCAGTGAGCTAATGAGCTGACTTCCAGGGACATTTTAGGCCTATGTCTAAACCCTAGCTGGGTTCTCAAGGCCAATGCCAGGCAGGAGACAGGACCCTGGGCCTGTGTGAGGGAGGGAACTAGAACTGACACACCTACCTAGAGCCAGGGCTCTGGAAATGCTGAAACCATGGAAGGGAAGCAAAAATCTCACTGCCCATTGGGCCAGGGAAGGAACTTCGAAGTTTATCCTTAATGGAAGCCCTGGGAGGAAAGGAAAATATCTCAAGTGAAAGATCAAAATCCAATCTGTGTCCTATATAGGTATAGGATCCCACATGCACCACCTCTCCTGGTACAAGTATCTTAAGCTAAGATGATAACTTAAAAATCTGTTTGCAAACAAGTAAAATCCCTGGGGTGCCCAACAGAAGCAAATGCAAACCACTCTTTAAGGCTACTTCTTAACCTAAGGCACACAGAATTCCCGTGAGGGAAAGTGTTTCCTGAAGATCAGCTCACAATAAAAAAAATTTAAAAATTATAAGCCAAATAAAGAACAGAGCCACCCCAAGGAACAGCCATCAGGCACAACTAACAGAAGCTAACAACCCCATGAACCTGAGATGATAGCACAGTACAAAAGAGACTGTTTTACATGATGAATAGAGGTAAAGGAAGGAAAAGAAATAGATTATCTTTTTCTGTGGGAAAAAGCAACAGATCAGATTAATTCATCTATTTGTTTTTTTTTTTTTTTTTTTTGAGACAGAGCCTCAAGCTGTCCCCTTGGGTAGAGTGCCGTGGCATTACAGCTCACAGCAACCTCCAACTCCTGGGCTCAAGCGAGTCTCTTGCCTCCGCCTCCCAAGTAGCTGGGACCACAGGCGCCCGCCACACCGCCTGGCTATTTTTTGGTTGCAGCCGTCATTGTTGTTTGGCGGGTCCGGGCTGGGGAATCAAACCCGCCACCTTAGGTGTACGTGGCTGGCGCCTTAGCTGGTTGAGCTATAGGCGCCGAGCCCATCTATTTGTTCATTCATTCATTCATTCATTGCAATCAGTCTTCTTGGGAACTCCTTGAATATGCCGAACACTCCTGCCAATGCATTGTCAGTGAAGATGTGAATGAGTACTGGCCACCAAGAGGACTGAGAGAAGGGTTTCAGGTTCATGGCCTATGCAGATAAATGGATGGTAGGGAGAGATGGGAGATCTCCCAATGAGTTGGGAGAGATGGCCAATGACAAGGTATTTTTGATAGGTGGGGGAGGATGGGCAGTATCCAACAGCTTGGTCTTGGGCATGTTGAGTTTGAGGAGCCTTTGAGGCCTCCCAATAGAGATGCCAAGGAAGCAGATGGAAAAATAGATCTGGAACTCAGCAGAAAGGTCTGAGTTGAAGATACGAATCTGGGAAGCATTGGCAGGGATGGAGATTAAAGCTATGGTCTTAGATAATATCATCATTGGGGGTAGTGTATACTCAGGTGAATTAGCTCAAGTCCAGCAGTCAATGACTTGCTATTTTGTCCCATTGAACTTATAGCTAGAGTTGCCCCAAAAGCAGTGGCAGGAGAGTTCCCACAAGGGAGGGCCTCAAATTCCCTGGGAATCCAAAGAAAGAAGCACTCAACGCCAGGGTGCTCCGTTCAAAGCATTCATATATTAGGGGAACTTACTTATAAAGTGCTGCAGCAATCCTTGCAAAGATCAGGGGAAGAAAAAGGATATTCTACCTAGGTAAGTCCACAGCAGGGGGTCAGGGAATGGGGTTTATGTGAGGTTTAAGGATCTTGGCCTAGGGCTGGGGCCAGTTTCACTTAGGGTTTTGGGCAACAACCTAGATACCTGGGAACCTTCAACCCAGTTTGGGTTCAAGCCTACTGAGAAAATCTGCAGCTGGCCAGGTCACAGAGTGGTCAAGGCCCTCTGTGATCTTTGCTCAAGACACAGAAAGAAAGCAAGGGGAAGTGGGAGACCCTACACTTGCTGATGTAAAGAAAGAATGCATCTTCAGGGAGGCTTAGGAGGACCCAGAGAAGTAGAGGAAATCCAGAATGATATGGTACCAGAGAAGCCAAGGGCAGAGAATGTTTGAAAAAGTAGGAGGATGGCCAACCGTGCCCAGTATGGCTGGGAGGTCAGGAGGAGGAGGGCTAGAATGTCCACTGACTTTGGCAACAGGATTGACGCCCCTGGAGGGAGTTGTGTTGGTGGACTAATAAAAGCGGATCCAGACAGGGATAGCTGAAGAGCACATAGGCAGACAGGGTGTGAAGAATTGCCCAGTGGTGTCATGACGCCCAACTCCACCAGCAGGATTTCCAGAAGGCCGCTGCACACCATGAAGCAGTCAACTCTCGGGAATTTGTCATGACAAGGGAGGGAGAGCTAGGACAGAAGAGGGAAGGAACATGGAAGAGACTTGGGCTTTCCAAAATGGCCATGGAGTCCGGGTGTGGTGGTTCACACCTGTAACCCTAACCCTCTGGGAGACTGATGCAGGAGGATTGCTTGAGCTCACGAGTTCAAGACCCACCAAAGCAATAATGAGACCCTGTCTCTACTAAAAATAGAAAAATTATCCGGGCTTGGTAGTACACCTGTAGTCCTAGCCACTTGGGAGACTGAGGCAGGAGGACTGCTAGAGCCCAGGGATTTGGGGATAACACCACTGCACTCTACCTAGGGCCAGGGCAACAGAGTGAGACTATGTCTCAAAAAAAGAAAAATAATGGCAGTGGGAGGATCCCCCTGAAAGGATGAAGTTAAATAGTATAGGAAAGAAAAGGATCATTGAGAATGGGTTTCCTGAAATGCGGTGGGAGGGCATTGAGGCATATGTATATATTTTATTTAGGTGTAGGGATCTCTCCTCCATGAGGAGAGAGGAGGTGCACAGTGATGAGAAGGTAGCAGGGTTTAATGGGGTTAAGCAGAATTAAAAGTAAGAAAACTTTCTTCCATTAATTACGGTGTGGTTTAGCTTTTTAGAAATTGGTGGACAGGCTGGGTGTGGTGGCTCATACCTGTACCGCTAGCACTCTGGGAGGCCAAGGAAGGTAGATTGCTTAAGGTCAGGAGTTCAAGATCAACCTGAGTAAGAGCGAGACCTCATCTCCTAAAAATAGCCAGGCATTGTGGGGGACACCTGTAGTCCCAGCTACTTGGGAGGCCAAGGTAAGAGGATCACTTGAGCCCAAGAGTCTGAGGTTGCTGAGAGCTATGAGGCCACGACACTCTAACCGGGGTGACAAAGTAAGACTGTCTAAAAAAAAAAAAAAAAGAGGAAGAAATCAGTGGACAAAATTCACCAGGTTTTACTGAGTGATAAAAAGACATGCACGGTGCCTTGGACACATGGTGAGGGTGTCCTGGGCAGAGGCTTAGCGGGAGAGAGGGGGTGGTGCTGAGGCTCAGAGGCAGGAGAAGGGAGGAGACTAAGGCTTAAGCTGTGCCACCCACCCTGCAGACATTGCCAACCGGGTGCTGCTGGCCCTCTTCACCATCGAGATGCTGATGAAGATGTACGGGTTGGGCCTGCGCCAATACTTCATGTCCATCTTCAACCGCTTCGACTGCTTCGTGGTGTGCAGCGGCCTCCTGGAGATCCTGCTGGTGGAGTCGGGCGCCATGACACCCCTGGGCATCTCCGTGCTCCGCTGCATCCGCCTGCTGAGGATCTTCAAGATCACCAAGTGAGCAAGGCTGGGCTGGGGCCCCGGGCCAAGCAGCCTGGTCTGGTCGGCACCCATCCCGTCTCCATCTCTCCTGGCCTGGGGTCTGTGCAAGTCTCCTGCCCTGGACTTCCCTCCTTCCTTAAAATAACCTCCCTCTGCAGAAAAGGAATTACTTCCCCGTTTTGAACTCATTTCTCTGGTTTTCCTCTCACCATCATCTATGGCAGGGCAGGGGAGAGGGATCAGTGGGAAAGAGAAAGGAAGAGAAAAGGGAAAACTGGGAGAGAGAAGAAGGGAAAGGAAGAGAGGCAGGGAAAGGGGTGGGAATGAGAGAGGAGGAGGTGAACAGGAAGAAGAGAGGCTGTTGGGTGGGGAGGTATTTACTGACTTGCAGGTATTTATTGTGTGCTAGCGCAAGCTGGACACTATGCCGAGTACAAGGCATGCAGGGGTGCCCGAGAGAGTGGTCCTTACTCTCACAGGGTTTTTCTAGTGGTGGAACCAGACACCAATCATTAGTGCTAATGAGTGTGAAATGATTAGTGTTCTGGAGAAGAGAGACAGTGGACATCCATTGAATCCCAGGCCCTCAGCACCAGGCTGCCCTCTCTCCCTTTGTGCCCCACCAGTCCTGAGCCCCCCACATCTCAGGAGCACAGGTGAGAGGGGTCTGGCTGCTCCTCACCTGGTGGTCTCTCTCCTTTCAGATACTGGACATCGCTGAGCAACCTGGTGGCCTCACTGCTCAATTCCATCCGTTCCATCGCCTCCCTGCTGCTGCTGCTCTTCCTCTTCATCGTCATCTTTGCCCTCCTGGGTATGCAGCTTTTTGGGGGCAGGTATGATTTTGAGGACACGGAGGTGCGGCGCAGCAACTTTGACAACTTTCCCCAGGCCCTCATCAGCGTCTTCCAGGTAGGCCGTCTGCCTACACATTCTGCCCTCGGTGTGCTTGCCAATCCTGCTTTTCATCTTTCAAGATCAAGGTGGGCATCAGCTCCTCCAGGAAGCCTTCTCTGATCTCCTGGTTGAGTTCAGTGTCCTTCTCCAGGCTTCCCATCACGGGTGCTTCTCTCCATTATAAGGCTTGCTGGTCTGCCTCATCTGCTGGATCTGTGCCCAGTTTGTCTGATTTGTCTTTGTCCCTGCTGTTTAGCAGAGTGCTGGCCCACAGGAGGGTAATGGTTACCAAATGACTGGGTTTGGGGTAGCTGGGAGCTCGAGTATGCTTTGCCTCCTGCTCACATCTCAGGACAAAGTCAAACAAAGTCTTCCCTCCCTAAGGCTGGGAAAGCCCCAAGAAGCCACCTAGGGGAGCATGGCTGTGACTCAGTAAGAGGCTTCAGAGTCACAGGCCTCCCAGAGGAGCCTTCTTAGTGCAGAATTTGGTAATGCTCCTCTCTGGGATAGCCAGAATCCCATGAGTGACACCACCCTGCTGTGCCAGCCGGAGGGGTAGTGTGTGGTCCTCAGTAGGCCCTGTGGCTTTGCCCTATTTTTCTTCCATTCACCTTGCTGGCTGGTCAGGCATCTTGCCTTTCAAGGGACTTGACATTTCATGCCACTGCTGGAGGCTGGGATGACAGAGGCCTGGGTGGGTGCAGTACAGTTAAGCCCTGGGATTAGAAATGGAACAGGGGAGTAGTGAGCTCACAGTCCAACTCCTTGGCCCTGGGAACCGTTATAAGCTTTAAGATCATTGGAAGAGAAGTGTTGAGGACATGAGGGTCACCTGGCCTGTGGAATGAAGAGAGGGAAGGTCTGGGAGAACTGTAGAGCTAGAAGAGGCCTTTGGACATGTGGGCCCAACAGAAGACTCCTGTCTCCCTATGTTTCCATGCCCTCATTCCTCCCTCTCTCCCTAGGTCCTGACAGGTGAAGACTGGACCTCTATGATGTACAATGGGATCATGGCTTATGGAGGGCCGTCCTACCCTGGCGTGCTTGTGTGCATTTACTTCATCATCCTTTTCGTCTGTGGCAACTGTATCCCCTGAGAGCAGAATGCAGAAAAGTGAGAGGGAGGGGATCAAGGGTGCCCTCTTCCTAAGCAGTCTGGCCCTCTGGCTAGAGGGAAGCTCCCAGGCTCATGGGGTCAGAGATAGGATATAACAAGGGCTGGTATAGCTATGAGATAACTCCTTCTCCCAATAAGGTTAGAGAACCACAGGGGTGGTTGGTTACAGGTAGTTGGATTACTATTCCATCAAGGTTGGTGAGCCTACAGCGGGTTAGAAGGAAGAATAGGGCTTTACCAAGGCACAGTGAAATGGTGGGGGCAGCTTACTGAAAAGGTTCAGAGGCAGACCAGGAGAAACCAGGACCTTGTGGCCAGGGGTGGTCAATCTGAGCACTAGGACCAAAAAGACTGAGCCAGGACAGGCCAAGAGATGAGATGGACTGATGGGAGGGTTTGGTGGATAGGGCCAGAGAGATGCTATGCCTGAGTGATCCTGGTGTGATATTATGGGTAGTGGGGAGGGAGGGCACCATTGTCCCTAGAGCTTATGGGTGGGTAGTGCCCTTCTCACTTTCTCTGCTTCTTTGGCCCCCCACAAAGGGGCTGGGATTAGTTGTGGGAAGGAAATAGATGGAATTCAAGGGCCACAGTGGATTCTGACCCCATCACGGCTACTCTCTGCAGGCAGGCTTCCCTGAGGACTTTGTCTGTGTCCTAAGACCCACACCTTCCCTTGGGGTAGTTCCGGCAACTACCAGAGGGGTAGTCCCAACTACCCCACCAAGGGAATGGGGTTAAGTCCTGCCCATATGCAGACAGTGAAGACTCTTGCCCCAGAGGCTTCCCTTCTACCCACAGCCCAAGACTCCTTAGCTGACCCCCCTCAGATATCCTGCTCAACGTCTTCCTGGCCATTGCTGTGGACAACCTGGCTGAGGCAGAGAGCCTAACTTCTGCCCAGAAGGCCAAGGCTGAAGAGAGAAAACGCAGAAAGATGTCCAAGTGCGTACTGTGTCATTAGAAGGGAGGGACCTGAAGTGTTTGACTATAGCCGTAGCCTCCCAGTTCTGGGTGGGGGCCTCCCTGGGACCTAAGAGCAGAGGCTCCATTCCATGACACCTGCCCCAGTGGGCAGACTCCTGCAGTAAGTACATGTGAACTGTTGACATCCTCTGAGGTGTTTCTGCGGGGAAGATGAGAGGCAGACTGGCCTTCTGGACAGACAGACCTCAGGACGTGTGCAGTTAGAGTCAGGCAACTTGGGCCAGGCTTTCCTGGGGAGGAATACGGGAGCATCTCCTCCCAACCCTGTCACTGAGTCACTGTGCTTCTAGAAGGGAGCCATTTCCCTTTGCTCAGTCATCCCCTCTTCTGTGAAGTGAGCATTGACTTCTCAGCTTCTTCACAATTCTCCCTACCTGTGAGTTAGTCATCTTTGTAGCCCGGGACTGGAAGCAGACTTCTTGTCTTCTAGACAGTGTTTCTCAAACTCTCACTAGAAATGGATCATCTGGAGTTCTCGTTAAAATGCAGATTTTGTTTCAGCTGTTCTGAGGCAGGGTGTGGTTGAAGGTCAGGTCCAGCAAGCTCCCAAGTGGCCCCAAGGCTACCGGTCAGAGGATGGGTCTTTGAATAACTAGGTTCTAGGCAAAGGCCTGCTTTTTCCCACACCCTTGCCTGAAGGAATGGGAAGAGAAAGAGAAAGACTCACAATGAACTCCAGACACTTTCAAATAACTGGAGGGAGCCACCTGTGCAAACCATGCTTCCCCTCTGTGAAGGCTGACAAACCAGGTGCAGGGCCACTTTCCACCCATTCACTATCAACAAACATTACCTGTGGCTGACCAGTGAGCCACACTTAGCCACAGGCCCAAGCTGTGCGCCAGGCCCTCTCATCACAGAGAAAGCACTTGCCTGGGCCTACGGACCTTCCTGTTTTGTTGTGTCCACTGCCACTCCTTCTCCTTCTTCCACAAGGGGAGCCCCTGGGTGGGATCCTCCCGAGGGTGTTGTTACACTGAGCAGATCCCCAAGAACTCTCTTGTTCAGCTTTCAGTTTGGGTTTCCTTGGTTTTCCAACTCAGGGGTCTCCCAGACAAATCAGAAGAGGAGAAGTCCATAATGGCCAAGAAACTGGAACAGAAACCCAAGGGGGAGGGCATCCCCACCACCGCCAAGGTGAGCACCTCATTGGGGATTTGCAGGTATGATGGGGGGTACTTTTAAAGTCTTCATGGTTTCTTTGCCCAGTACCTCAGTGTTCAAGTGGAGTAGGGTGAGGAGGAAGGAAAGTGGTCATCTGCCCAGCTGTCAGCCAGGTGAGGGCATCTCCCTGCATTCTGTTGGAGGGAGATCAAAGGGTACATCTCCTCCAAGGAATCTGGTATTGAGAGGCACAGACACCCCAGTCTGGAATTTCCTTAAAGTCCCAGCTTCCCACCCCAGAGCAATAAGGTGTCTCCTCAGCTGATACCCACTCTTTCATTGAGAGGCCTAAACTGGCTCCCGCCATTTCTAGCCCTGCCCTACTGGCTTGGGCTGGACTCTGCCCAACATTCCTGAAGATGGGAAGTGTAGTTCAAAGGGGCGGGGAACTGGGTCCCAGTGGGGCTGGGGATCCTGGCCTGGGGAGCTCAATTCTCTTTCGGAGAATCAGGCAGGGGTTACAGTAAAAACAGATTCAGAGAGGCCGAGGTCTGGACTTAGGAAAGTTGTCTGACCTTACTGGGCCTGGGGATGATCATAATATTCCCTGTCCTCATGATGGAGGGGTGATTAAGTGAGCTGAAAACTGCACTGACATTCCAGTATGGGCTCAATAAATGGAAACCACAACTTTTTAAAAAATCATTAGAGTCACTGGGGTAAACAGATGCTAATTAGCTGATTCCACAATAGAGGTAATTTTTAAAAAAATCATAATTTTCCTTATGTTGCTTCCTACAGCTGAAAATCGATGAGTTTGAATCAAATGTCAATGAGGTGAAGGATCCCTACCCCTCAGCTGATTTCCCAGGTGAGGATCCTTGAGGCTGGTCTGAGCAGGGTGCTAGGGAGGAGTATTGTGGTGCTAAATTCTCCCCATGGGCATCCTCTTGTGTATCCCCTACCTGGCCCCCTCCATGTGGGGATTAGGACATCGGAGACATCTCTTCTGCACCTACCCTTGCCAATAAGCCATCCAGCTTTCCTTCCCCTGCAATACACAAATGGAAAAATCCACACATTTTAATTTCATGTAATTCAACAAGTATTTATTGAATGCCAGCTATGTGCTTCAGTGCTGAGGACTCACAGATACACAAGTCTTCCCTGCCCATCACCCAGAATGGACCACAAATGAGGGTGTGCCCATCTGTGTGGTGAGGGGCAGAATGCTCACCATCCAGTGAGCAGGATTGGGGCTAGACTGATACAGGGAGGAATAGAGCCATGACTGGCATTGTGGGAAAATCCAAAAGAAGGAGACGAGGGTAGGATGGAAGGGAGCATGGGTAAGACACAGTCATGGATGAACTACAAAAATCTTGTAAGTGCAAATAACCAGTGACTACTGCAGAAATCCCATTCACCTGGACCAAGGAGAGGACACATGGAGGAAGCAGAATCGGGTTGGAATAATCTGAAAAGGCCACCAGGCAGAGCTCCCAAGCCCAAGAGTTCGCTCTTAGCTCACTCATGGGTCCTATGGAGCTCTGGGTCACTGGGGCAATTCTACTTCTATTGTGGAATCAGCTAATTAGCATGTTTACCCCAGTGACTCTAAGCTGAAAGGGGACTTTTTGTGGTCTACATGGCACAGTATTGGGCACAGAGCAGGCACTCAATAAGTAGAATGAATGAATGAATGCATGAAAAAGATTTTGCAAAGTGTGGGGAGAATGGAGCTGGTATTAGTAAGACTAATATTCTCCAAACATCTACAAGAAGTGGACACTTGTGTTTTCACTTTGAGCTGTTTCATCTAATAATGATCTTCCCTTAGATGGGAGTGGCTGGTGTGCCAGGAGAGGTTGGTTCACATAGGAAATCCCAGGTCAGAGAAAGGGAAGAGGCTGGAAAGAAGAGAGGAGGGAGAGAGCAGAGGGCATGTGGGCTGGGCCACTGGGAGAAGGGTCTTACCAAGGGGGCTAGCTGTGTTTATATCTTGCTTCTTAATTTGCAATGGTTTACAACACAAGTTATAAACAGCAAATTTAACAAAATGGCCAGAGACAGAGAAAATAAGAATGAAGGGGAAGAAAGGATGCAAATATGCCAATTCTAAGAACTAACTGTCTGCAATTAAGCACGACGTGTGTCTCTGGGGTCTGTGGCAGCCTGGACAAGACAGGAAGTGTCAAGTTAGGACATAGGAAGAAGAAAGTGTTCTCACTTCTCAGGGGAACGGGAAAATTAGACTGTGATTTGGGTGGATTTGAGAACCCCCAGGTGATGGTTCATGATGAGTGCCATGATGGAGTGAGTGAAATACATTAGCTTTTGGCTTCCTTGAGGCCCTTGGCCAGGGGACAACAAGGGCAGGGAAGAGACAAGTGTTAGGGGAGGGAACCAAGAGGAACCCCAACTTCAGACAGTGCCCCCAGTCTGATCACTAAATTCTGTCATCCTGGTAGCCAGTCCCTTGAGAGGCCATGGGACCCAGTGAATATGCCTGGGATGTCTGTCTCCTCGTCCACCCCCACCCCCACGCCTGCATCTGCCACAGTCCTGGGGACTGGCTGAAGCTCAAAATGGATCGATTGCTTTTTTTTCCATGCTGGCAGTTTCTGTCTGCAATTATTATTTTCAGAATCCTAGCCCAGGAGAGGACCTCAGAGTCTATTTATTTCCACAACCCGTTCTCCACCCCTGCCACATTAGTTTCACAAATTGGGAAGCTGAAGCTTAGGAAGGGCACAGACCTGCCCAGCACCACAGAGCAAGTTAGGGCAGAGCCAGGACTAGAAGCAGGTCTCCTCTTCTGAAACAGGTCACCCACCCCCACCCCGGTCTATGAATAATTGAGGCAGTATGGATCCAGCCTTGACACAGAAGATGCAGCTGAAAGGCTCTTTTGGCTTACTCCTAGCCTTGCTTCCAGAAGATTCCGGGCCTGCCTCATCTACTCCTAATAGCTTAAACCCTCTTGCTTCAAAGAAAAGGAGATGCTGGGCCAGACTCTGCTAGTGCCCTAGTGTCCCACATTGGCCTGATGCCTCCTTTGCTAGCTGGCGGCTGCAGGGGTGCCCAAGAGGGCTCAGGGCACGGAAGCCAGTGGCATAGCAAAGTACCAGAAGACAACTTTTCACTTCTCCCCCTCCCTCCACAGGGGACGATGAAGAAGATGAGCCCGAGATCCCAGTGAGCCCCCGACCACGCCCCCTGGCAGACATACAACTAAAAGAGAAGGCAGTGCCCATTCCTGAAGCCAGCTCCTTCTTCATCTTCAGCCCCACCAATAAGTGGGTGGTCCCTTGGCTGCTGTGTGGGGTGATTGCAGAGGCTCCCAGAGAGATCTGCTTCCCTGCCCTCAAAGGACCTTCTGAATCTCCATGCCTGCGATTACCCTATGAGAAACTCATTCTTTTAGCTTAAGATCTCGCGCCCTGTTTAAAATGCTGGTATCTCTGGGAGAAGTAATGCTTAACCTTATCAGTTATTTACATCTAAGAGGGGCCATGTGTGTTGGTTCCTTTCTGAGAGCAGTTTTAAAACAGGGCCAGGGGATGAGAGTGGTAAAGGCTTCATTTATCAGCTTCATCATTTTACACCTTTAAAATATACAGGCCTATAGTCTTCATGGAGTTTCATCTGCCCACCTCACAGACAGAGATCAGCCTGTCTCATTATTTTGGTGGAAAGCCTCAGGGTAGTGGTACCTTGGGGTACAGAGTAGGTGGGGGAGGGGCTTAGTTGGGAGATGGAACTAAAGCGGCAGAATGAGGGGGATGAGGCCAGAGGGCTCTGAAATGCAAGGCTATGCTGCTCCCCTGACCCGGGGGTAGGTAGAGGGTGAACCCAGTGTCCCTCTGCAGGACAGAGGCTGGTATGGCCTGAACACTCAGCTGCTCACAGCTCTCCCACTCCCCACCCTGCCCCACCAGGATCCGCGTCCTGTGTCATCGCATTGTCAATGCCACCTGGTTCACCAACTTCATCCTGCTCTTCATCATGCTCAGCAGTGCTGCTCTGGCTGCTGAGGACCCGATCCGGGCCGATTCCATGAGGAATCAGGTGATGGCAACCATATCCTGTGTGCCACTCAACACTCCTGCTGCCCTCCAGTCTCAGCCACCCCCAAACCTCACTCCAGTGCTCAGAGTTCAGCTGTAAGCTGCTGTGGCTATAAGCACCAGAGTTCCTTAGAGTTTAATTCCTTGGGGCCAGTACTGTCCTCGCCACTCCTAAACAGTACTGGCTCAGCCAGGGTGTAGATGGGTTCCCACGGCCTGCTTGTGATGCTTGTGATGCTGGTGTTGACAGTGATGCCGCTGTCCCTCTCTTCCTCTCACTGTCTGCTCCCTTCCCTGCCCCATCCCTAGATCCTCAAGCATTTTGACATTGGGTTCACCTCCGTCTTCACTGTGGAGATTGTCCTCAAGGTGAGTGAAGGCTGTGGGACAGCTCTGGGAGTGGGGCTTCCCTGGTGTGGCTCCAGCTTACACACACAGAGCTCACTCAGGGGTGGGGCTGCAGTGGTGGGAGGGAAGGAGGAAGAAGTGGAAGAAGCAGGACAGACTCATAGGACCCAGAAGACAGGACAGGGTTCCAACATATCAGTTGGGGTGAGCAGGCCTGAGGGTGTCTGGGTTGCTGACTGGAGAGGTCATGGTGAACCTGTGGCCAGCCCCTCTCAGCCGGGTACAGCCCTTGTCTCTAAAGCCTTCAGCATTTTTCATATATACGGAAAGCAGAGTAGACTTAAGAATAGACCTGGGGAGCTGTGCTTTGTTCCCAGCCCACTGTCACCAGTGACTAGAAAGGCTTTTCCCTCCAGGAGTTCCAGAGAAGTGCCCACTGCCCTAAGCTGGCCTCTGGCAGCTCGGCCCTATCAGGGCTATCTCACCTCACTCCTTGCCCAAGGGGGTGGGGGAATCCGTGGGTTCATCCATCAGAGGGGGGCAGTAGGCTTTGGGGACAGAGGAAGGACCCATCTGTGACTGAAACCCAATAGTCTCAACCTGCAGATTCACAAGCAATGAGAGGAGAGGGTGACCGAGCCCAAAGAATGGGCCCAGAGAGGCCACAGGATGAAATTGAGAGAATCCCTTAGCTCAGGGCCTCAGCTTTTGAAGGAGCTGAGCAGAGGGAGATGGTGGTCTCCCCAAGATCCAGGAGGACTTTATGGAGTTGGAGGCATTAGTTGAAGACCTTGAAGTTGGACAGGACCTCATCAGGGACAGGTAGCCAGAGCAGGCTAGGGGGACAGAAAGTAGCAAATACATTGTAAGGTCTAAGGACATTATCAGAAGACAGAAGGTGGCCCCTTTGGTCTGGGATAAATTACATATGTAGGGGGGGCCTGTTGGCTGTGACTGGAAAGGCAAATTGAGATAAAATCATCCAGGGCCCTGAATACCAGGAAAGGCTTTAACTCTATCGAACTTTAAAGGCACAGTGCGTTTGTGTAAAGGGTTTAGCAGACCATTACAGAATACGTGTATCAAAGACTCTGAAGGCAGGCTACTGAGAGGGAGATGCAGAGAGAGGGTAGAAGAGCTGGAGCTGGGTGGGGGTGTTCAACCTGACTCAGCAACCCCCAGGCAGAGGGGATTTCCAACAAGCTTTCTAGGGAGGAGGAATTTTATCAGGTCCCATAGGAAAGAGGAGCACTGTGGCTTCATGAGTGGAGACCCAGGGCTCCATATGGTGTGAAGAAAGAGACCTGCATTCTGAGTGTAGGGCCTGGCCCAGCTGCCAGTGAGAAGTCCCCACGCTTCAGTACCCTTGAACAGAGAAAGGAGAAATGCGCTCAGGCCACAGCAAGGAGTTGTGATAGAGAAATCTTCAGGCAGGTGACACACCTCAATAGGTGCTCTTCCTGAGCTGACCAGAATGAGAAGCCCTTAATGGTAGGGGACAGGCCTGTTCCGTGAGCCCCTCCCCATCTGGGGTGCTGTCTCTCTCCCCAGATGACTACCTATGGTGCCTTCCTGCACAAGGGCTCCTTCTGCCGCAACTACTTCAACATGCTGGACCTACTGGTGGTGGCCGTGTCCCTCATCTCCATGGGACTTGAGTGAGCAGTGCCAGGGCCTCAGAGTGGGCATCCCATCAGCTCTGGTTGGTGGGCACCATATCATGAGAGAAGGGTCTCTCAGGGCCACTGATGAGGGTGGGGGAATCCTTGGGTTGTCACCATGGGAATAAAGTGACATGTGAAGTGGGCATGGCCTTATCCTGGAGACTGGCAGATATGCAGAGAAGTGGACGGAATCTCCCACTTTGCCCTGTGAGCCACACATCCCCTGGATTTGGGTCAGTGCTTATTTGATGGGAGGGACAGGGTCTCAGGCCACCCACAGAAGCCCATATTCTGCTACGTGAGACTCGAGTGAGCGCACTGGCCTAGTCAGAAGGGATGGCTTCAGCCAGGGGTAAGCTGCACATGCATAGCTGGAGGAAAGGGGCAAGAAGGCCAGAGTGCCTTCAGGCAGAAAGGCAGCCGGTGTGAAGAGCAGGTGGCAGGAACTGGGTTCCATGGCAGACATGTCTGGCTGGAGCAGGCCTCCCTCAGCCCCACACCTCTCCTCCCTCCCCCAGGTCCAGCGCCATCTCTGTGGTGAAGATTCTGAGGGTGCTGAGGGTGCTCCGACCCCTACGAGCCATCAACAGAGCCAAAGGGCTGAAGGTGAGAGGGAGTCTGGGAGGAGCCCAGGGAGAGGGAAGAGAGAGACTATAGGGCCTGACTCCAGAAACATCAGCCCAGCCATTGCTGAGACACCTGTCTCATCTCCTTGGCTAAACAGGGAGTAGGCACGAGGCTGGGGCAGCAATGCTTCCTCACCAGCCTCCTCTGCCTTTAACTCCCTGGGAGGCAGCAAGTCTTGCACTTTGGGGGTTCCCTAGGCTGGTGCACTTTGGGGGTTCCCTAGGCTGGTGCACACCCAGTCCCTATCATCCCCTCTGTCCTCAGCACGTGGTGCAGTGCATGTTCGTGGCCATCAGCACTATCGGGAACATCGTGCTGGTCACCACCCTTCTGCAATTCATGTTTGCTTGCATCGGCGTCCAGCTCTTCAAGGTGAGGTCCCACCTGTGTAAGCAGCTTCCTCTCACTTCCCCAGCCCTGGGGCCAGCTCTCAAGCTGAGGCAAAAGCCATTGATTTCTCCTTCTCTAAGTAAAAGGAGCCCCAAGTGATAAAAGCAGAGGTCCTTGAATGCAGAGAGTTTTGAGGCTAAGATATTGCTATTCAAGATCTGATTTGTTAGGTAATGTCATCCCTGACCACTTTGGCTCTGCTGTCACCCCTCCCCCATCACCTTGCCCAGTTCTTCCTGTCCCACCAGGCCTGTCTAAAACACACACCCAGCCCAGCCCTACCACCTCCACCCCTTCCATGCAGCTGGGCTTCTGCAGCCTGTGTTCCCAGCTGGTATGCCTGACATCATCCACGTCCACCAGGAGCTTCTAAGGGTGGGAGTCTGTCAGGTCACATCTGGAGCCAACCTTATTGTGTTCCCACTTTCCTGGGCGAACACAGCTATTCAGTTTCCTCTCTGGGACTCAGCCCTATGAAGGTTCACCTCCCACAGAGCTCTGATTTCCAGATGCCTCTGGCTCTGAGATCATCTTCAGGGTGCAGAAATTGATACCTGGACGTATCACCAACACCCTTGGTACACACTTGGTCCTGCCATCAAATCATGGTCATTTAAAGTCATCATGATGTAACCTTAGTCAGTCTTAGACATGCAATGGCATCATCTTACAGTCATTCATTCATGCAACAAATACATACAGAACATTTTCTCCATAAATGGATCAGAGCCTCTGCTAGGGCTTAGGAAGTCACAGCCAAACCCTCCCTTAATGGCTCAGCGCTGGTAGCACAGTGGTTACGGCATCAGCCACATACACCAAGGCTGGCAGATTCAAACCCAGACCAGGCCAGCTAAACAACAATAACGACTGCAACAAAAAATAGCTGGATGTTGTGGCGGGCACCTGTAGTCCCACCTACTTAGGAGACTGAGGCAAGAAAATCACTTAAGCCCAAGAGTTTGAGGTTGCTGTGAGCTGTGATGCCATAGCACTCTACCAAGGGCAACATAATGAGACTCTGTCTCAAAAAAAAAAAAAAACCCTCCCTTAAGGGACAGGTTTTGGGGAAAGCAGTCAGGGTGGGGTTCCCTGAGGACCTTTAGGATAGGTCCTTGAGGGGTGGGAGTGCTTAGAGTAGTCCGGCCACTCTGCCAGCTGCATATGACTGTCTCTACCTGGTCCTGAGGGCTATACACACCCCATCACCCAGCCTCTTCCTCTACCAGGCTTGAGTTTCTGGAAACCCTATAAGGGTGAAGTCTGTGCCTGCCTCATCCCTTAGCTTGGCGCTTAGCCTGGGGCCTTGTACCCAGGAGGCCACCAGACACTCTTCCTGCAGCAATGAATGAGGAGCTGACTTTCTTTCAGCTCCATGTCCCTTCCAGGCAAGAGCAGTTGCCTTTCAGCACCCTGATCCCCTTTCTGTTTTAGACTCTCATCAAAGGAGCCACTGTTCCTGCCTGTGCAGGTCACAGGAACACATCAGTTACAACCGGCATTTAACATCACATTTTACCCTGTGCATACTTGTCACTTGCATTCCATGGTCTAGCAAAGAGTCTAGCTTTACATTCCACATTAAATTGGGTGTTTGGTGTCAGGTGCCCACCCTGCCCCATGGCAACTGTGTCCACTGCCTGCATCTTCCTGGCATTGCCCACCCTGCCTTCACCTGCTGCTCCAGCAGCCATAAAAAGGGGTTGTGGTAGGAACAGCACAATCCTGTGTGGGATGAAGGGATGGGGGAAAGGGACAGCTATGCCTTCAGCTGGTCCTATGTCATTGGCTTAGGGCAGTTTCCCTCTCTGAGCCTTGAGACTGGACCAAAACCTACGAATTTCACATCTATTTTAGCCACATTGAGACCTAGCAATCAACTCCTTTGTTCACACCCAATCTTTTGCAGGTATCCAGTATGAGGTGCAGATACAAAGAGCTTGGGCAGTGCTGTGGCTCAAAGGAGTAGGGCGCCGGCCCCATATGCCGGAGGTGGCGGGTTCAAACCCAGCCCCAGCCAAAAACATAAAACAAAAAGCAAGAACTCTGACTGCACTCAGTATGGGGGCACAGAGCCCTTCAACTCAGGTCTGGGTGGGGTACACTGGGACCCCTGCTCCATTCTGAGACAAGTTGGGTTGGCAGCACCCAGCTAGGCTCTATTTCTACAGCTCCCATGCCCACTCCAGCCCTGAGGGCACAGGGCTGGCAAGAGGTGGGAGGTGGGTAACCCTCCAACTTGTCATAGGGAGCCCCAAGAAGGCCTTCTGCAGCAGCAGGGGAGCTGGGGTGCCAAAGGGAGGGGCAGGGGCAGCTGCGTTCATATCTCCACCTCCGCTGCCCAGCCTGGGTGCTCAGCAGTTGCTCACTTAGGGCACTGCGTTCTCAGCCTTGGCAGCACCTAGGCCAGGGAAAAGCCCATGGGGAGCCATGTGAATGGGTGATGGTGAAGGAGGAGGACTATTCAGGGCCCTGCCCCAAGGAGAAGGCCACCTCTCTGACAGGAAAGGGCGGGCTCCTCCTTCCAGATGCCCCATTTTCTCTTCTTCCTCCACCATTCACTTCCATGGCCCACTTTTCTATCCTGTTTCCATGACGACATGCCGCTCCCTCCTCCTGGATGCAGGGGAAGTTCTACAGCTGCACTGACTTATCCAAGATGACGGAAGAGGAGTGCAGGTGTGCCATGCTCTGCTGGCTGGGGATGCACGGTGGGAGGGGCACCAGGCAGGGGCCCTGCAGACTGGTAACTGGGGGCCCTGAGCCTTTAGGCACAGGAGGGGTATTCAAAGAAGCTTGGGCTTGCCCAGCAGGGCACCCTCCGGTCCCAGATCTGGACCTTCATTTCTCCTGCACACTCAGCTCAGGGCCCAGAGGATGTGGTGGGGCGGAGGCAGCCCCGTCACACCCTATGCAGTGACTGGGCATCCCTGCCTCAGGGGCTACTACTATGTGTACAAGGATGGGGACCCCACACAGATAGAGCTTCGTCGCCGTGAGTGGGTGCACAACGACTTCCACTTCGACAACGTGCTCTCCGCCATGATGTCCCTCTTCACCGTCTCCACCTTTGAGGGATGGCCGCAGTAAGTGAGGGTTGGGTCCTGGATCCCACACAGCATGGTCAGGGTGGTGCCAGGGAGCCTGCTGGCCCTTCCACAGGCCCAGGGCAGGAGCTTGGCACACTGCCCTGACTCTCTGATGGCTTATAGGACTGGGGTGCCAACTGGTCAGTCCAAAGCAATCCTGACCAGGGTGCTCTGACATATGTACCCAGTCTCCTCATAGGCGTCCACCGCTCTGCCTACAAGGGAGCTCTTCTGACTGATTAGGGACAGAGGAGGCACTCCATGGAAAGGCAGAGCCATTCTACAATGGGGTCCAGGCTTCTCTGGCCTAGCCCTGACTTCAGCTCCATCACTCGACAACAGGACAGGTTGTCAGAAAGCTCTCTGCCTCATGGCCCCAGTCCAAACCATCCTATCTTCTCTGCCCACCCTAAGGCTGCTGTACAAGGCCATAGACTCTAACAAGGAGGACGTGGGCCCCATCTACAACAACCGAGTAGAGATGGCCATTTTCTTCATCATCTACATCATCCTCATTGCCTTTTTCATGATGAACATCTTTGTGGGCTTCGTCATCGTCACCTTCCAGGAACAGGGGGAGACCGAGTATAAGAACTGTGAGCTGGACAAGAACCAGGTGCCAGGGCCACCTGCTGAAGAGGGAGGGCAGAGCCCCAGCAGCCTCCTGCTGGCCCCAGCCCCAGATCTAGCCAGCAAAGCGAGTCCTAGGGCGACCCCAGAAACTGTATTTGATGCCAAGCCTCATCCTCTATGCACCCCACCCCATCTCCAACCTGACACAATACAAGTTGGTAGAGTAGGCTCAGCGCCTGTGGCTCAAGCGGCTAAGGCGCCAGCCACATACACCTAAGTTGGCAGGTTCGAATCCCCAGCCCAGGCCCACCAAACAACAATGAGGGCTGCAACCCAAAAATGGCCAGGTGTTGTGGCGGGCGCCTGTAGTCCCAGCTACTTGCGAGGCTGAGGCAGGAGATTCGCTTGAGCCCAGGAGTTGGAGGTTGCTGTGAGCTGTGATGCTATGACACTCTACCCAGGGGGATAGCCTGAGGCTCCGTTTCAAAAAAAAAAATAAACAAGTTGGTAGAGTATGGGGGGGGCTTCTCATGGAACCCCAGTAATACCCAGAGAAAGAAATACCTTTCAAGCCCCTGGGATGGTCTAAAGCCATGGTTGGAATGGCCTGTGATAACTTGAGGGGAACTCAAGGGCCCACTGGGGTCATTCCCTTAAATAGTACAGAGTCATAGCTTCTGGCTACAGCTGCTCTTGACTCGCCCAGAATTAAGGGTCCCTCAAGCCCACAGGGGAGGCCACAGGGAAGGAAGGGAAAGAGCAGCCTCTTGGTGTTGACCTGTCCTGTTGTGTGTGTGACAGCGCCAATGTGTGCAGTATGCCCTGAAGGCCCGTCCATTGAGGTGCTACATCCCCAAAAACCCATACCAGTACCAGGTGTGGTACATCGTCACTTCCTCTTACTTTGAATACCTGATGTTTGCCCTCATTATGCTCAACACCATCTGCCTGGGCATGCAGGTAAGGGACCCCAGAAGACAAGTGTCCAGTCAGACTGGGCCTGGCACCTGGGTATGGCAGGGAGTGGGGAGGTTCCCGAGTGCCCCTGTAGACATTTCCTGTGCCCTGCATCAGTCAGGTGCTGCACAGGACACAGAAGAGAAGCGGACCTTGTCACCGTGGCCCTTGTGGTTTATCCTGGAAGTAAATTAAGCAGACAAATAGTGTGGTAACTCTGCAAACAGATGACTACCACTGAAGGGGGGGGGGGGTGTAGGAAGTAGAAAGTGCTCTCCTCGTACTGCTTCTGCTGCTACAGATCTGGATGGTTGAGTTGGCTGGAATCTTGGGTCTGGCCTCCAGAAAAATGAGTTAGGTATTCACAGGTGTCTCTCTTAGGAGTTGAGCACTGTTTATAGATAATATCATAATCAGCAGCATCATTATCAAGCCTTAATTAAGCATCTGATTCCTTACACCCTGTATAAACAGAATTGCACAATTAGGCTCCCTGTCCCTAAGAGCCCAAGACACACCCAATGATAAGACCACACATTGCCAGGTCATGAGAATATGGAAGAGAATCACTGGGCCACTAGGCCCTGATTGCACAGAGGATTGTGAGCAATTGCTGTACTTGAGGCTGAGTCAGGCAACAGAATCAGGCACTCCTGCCAAAATGTGTGGGGAAAGCCATAGGTCCTTCTGAACTCCCTGGAAGGGTTTTGTGGAAAAGGTAGGATTTCATTAGCTTTCTAAACAAAAGCTAAGAGCTTCCTGGGAAAATTTACAAGGAAATAGGTTTAACAAGGGTCACAGTGGTGAGTCAAGGGGACCAACATTACTTCTGTTAATTGCCTCATCATCATTGGGGGTAGCAGGCGATATACTAAGGTTGGTAAGCTCAATTTCTCCACCAGGAACCAGAGATAATACCAAGTAGAGAGAGAGAGTCTTGTGCCCAATTAACTAGGTGGAACCTGCCTCAGAGCCCAGCCCCAGATCTAGCCAGCAAAGCGAGTCCTAGGGTTGACCGATCTCGGTCATCCCAGAATAGACGTATAAATGAGCTCTGGACAGGACTTGTGAGCCCAGGCTCCTTCCCCTCCTTGTATTACCTCTTTTGTGGTGGTGATTGTAGGGGGATAGTAGAGTTCCCAGCCCTGTCCATGAGATTTGGTGGAATTACTAAATCAAGGGATGACTAAAGCAAGCTCCTAGTTAGTTCTCTAGGCTAAAACAAAATGGGCAGGGGCTCAAAGAAGGGTTGAAAGCTTTCCAGAAAGAGTAGGGGGCTCTGGGAATGCAGTCTGCAGGATGGACAAGCCCACCTCTCCTATGTCCCCTCCACAGCACTACAACCAGTCAGAGGAGATGAACCACATCTCCGACATCCTCAATGTGGCCTTCACCATCATCTTCACCCTGGAGATGATCCTCAAGCTCATGGCCTTCAAGGCCAGGGTAAGTGCCCGGGCCACAGGCCCAGATAAGCAGCTGGTGCCTGGTAGGTGGGCCTGCTCGTGGAACACCCACCCAGATCCCCTCATCTTACCACTTCTGCTCCCTGCCTGCTCACCACCTTCAAGTGCAGGGCAGGCAGAATTTCAGGCAGCTGGAATTGACCGATGATGGAAAGATGCCAGCACCTTTTCCCTGCTCCCTTCTTCAAGACTGCCTTACATTCCCGCCCTCCCTTAAGCTTCTGAAGAATAGGCCCAGCACCAGGGGGAATATCTTGCTCAGTTTCTCTGCGTCCCAAGTCTGTGCCTTGGGTTCCCAGCCCTGTCAGTTCTGCACTGTTAAGCCCCAGACAGGATGTTAAGTGGGGTTCAGGGGTTGAAAGAATACTCCATCTCTCCTAGGACCCAAGTCTTGAGATCCCAGCAAGTCTCCCCTTTCCCTCCTACTACTTCATTCTCTCAAGGAAGGGAAGTAAAGAGCTAAGGGGAGAGGAGAATGGGGTGGGGCTGCTGCAGCATCTGCTAGTAGTGAGGCGGGGTGCCTGGAGTTGGTCTCCCCCAGCCTCCCTGTGCAATCTCAGGTGAGACCGCTGCCCTCTGCTGGCCACCAGAGCACCTTCCTCTCAGAGCTCACCCCCAGCTCTCTGGTCCCTTCCCTTCCCAGGGCTATTTCGGAGACCCCTGGAATGTGTTCGACTTCCTGATTGTCATTGGCAGCATCATCGACGTCATCCTCAGTGAGATCGACGTGAGTATCAAGCAGGCAGACCCATCACTGGGGTGGGACCAAGAGCTTGTTCAACATGCATAGGGTGCCCACTGCGTGTACATGTGGCACCTCAGGGGGTTACAAACATGGAAATGACAAGTTGTAGCTTCTGCCCTCAAGGAACTACAGTCCTGCAAAGCAGAGAAATAACTCAGACACCAGGTAGACATCCCAGACTGCTGAAAGGAAGAGATATATCATGGAAAGGAGAGGGCATCTCTGGGTGGGATAGTCAGGGAAGGCTCCATGGAGGTGGTGCAACTTGCCTTAAGGAAAGGGATGCAGTGACTGGAGCTATAAAGGAGAACAGATATGTGGGGCAGGGTTCCATAGGAGGGGCACAGAGCAGGAAGGGCAAAGCAGGCTCAGGGTGTGCTTGAACTTTATGGAGCAGGCAGTAAAAAGTCACTGAAAGTTTCTAAACAGAACAGTGGAAGGGCTGAAGCCCTGCTTCTAAAAAGGTCATCTGGAGAGGAGGGGCAGGAGGAGAACTGTAAGTAGGGAATCAGTCATTCATTTATTCCTCAAATACTTGCTAAGTACCTCCCATGTTTCAGGTATGATTTTTATTGCTAGAGATACAGCAAGAAGAAAATTGTGGGGGAAACAGACCATAAATAAATCTATAACATGACAGGTATGACAAATATGTACCATGAAGAAAAATAAAACATGTCAAGACCCAAGAATGGGAGAGGTGGTGTTAAGATGCCATTGGAGCAGAGATCTGAGTACTAGTGAGCCATATGGGGGGGGGCAAAGTGTTGTTACAAGTGGGGAAAGCATGTGCAAAGGCCCTGTGGTGGTTGGCTGGGTTTGAAGACTAGAAGGAGGCCATTGGAGCTGGAACAGAGAGCAGTAGAGATGAGATGAGAGAGAAGGAATGGGGGTCAGATCATCTAGGAGCTTGAAGGCCAATTATGATCTTGGGTTTTATTCTGAGAGAGATAAATGCCCTTTTGTAGGTTTAAGTGTGGTCAGACTTCATTGTAAAAGAACCACACTGGCTGCTGTGGCGAGAACAAGCTGTAGGGGACTGGGGAGAGCAGCCAGGAGGTCACTGTAGTAATCTAAAGGGGAGGTGACAGGACTGAGGCTAGCTGTGGAGGCTGTGAGAGGTGGTGGAAAGGTAAATGGCCCAGGAGCTGGACTAAGATGCTCTAATGGAGGGGATGAAGCCCTGTGGGTGGAAAGTGGAATAGCAGTAGGATCTGCATTATGGGGTGGAGGTGGAGGGCAGGTAGAGGTTCCAGCCAGAGAGGTCCACATTCAAGATTTTAGAAGTCAGCACCTCCAGAGGTGGCCATGCTGAGGATCTGCCACTCAGGGCACCGCAGAGTGAAGAGGGCAGCAGGTGACACGGTGGAAGAGGTCCAAGAGCACAGTTGATGCTGAAATCTTACGACAGTTTCCCAAGCAGCACCCTGGGGCTGTGGAAGAAAGAGAGGGAGGAGAGCAGGAGAAAGGCATCCATCTTTCTGAGCCACCCTAACCATGGCCATGATGGTATTCTACCTAACCAGTGGCAGACTTGGAGGTGGGGAGCCCAGTAGGCGACTAGCACCAAAGCTGGGGGGCTCTTTTATGTGTAAGGATTCCTTCTGAACTCTCCATTGCTCACTGAAAAACCTTTTAGGCTGTGTCAGCCCCTGGGGTGAACCTTATGGTGAGCGGGTTGGAATGGGGAGGAGCAGCTCTGGAGATGCCTGAGAGGGGCGGGGTGAGGGGAGCAGCTGAGGAAAAGTCTGGGCTCTATAAGGAAAGAACCCTTGGCTGAAGCTCCTAAAGGCTGAGCCCTGGCAGGGAGTGGCACCTTCTGGGGACTTGGCTGCCTCACAGGCTGTCTGATGTACTAGGGGAGGGCCCACGGTGGGATCCCTGTTTGCTCCCCATGCACAGAACAGTGACAGACAGAGCTCCATCTGCTCATATCCCTGAGGAGGCGGGGTTGATGAGAGGCAGGGTGGGCACTGGGCAGAGCCCATGTGAGTGTGTGAGTGTGTGCGTGTCTTGTATATTTCCACCCATGCTCAGTTTTTGCAAAGGACCCCATGGTTTGAGAGCAGCTTCTCACCGCCACAGTCAGAGGAGATTTCTTAAACAGCCAAAATAAACAGCCCAAACTAAAAATGGTTACTTCTTAAAATTTGAGGTCTATGCGGGATAAGCTTGGATAAATCTTTAAAACAGTTTCTTTGGTGGTGGAGGACAGGAGGGTGTCATCAGGCCTTATCTGATTTTTAGGCACAGCAGACGTTCCTTACCAGTATGTTTGCTTGAAGTTATGTGATATCAATTTATAGTGCTAACACTCAAACTGCGGAAAGGTCTAGGGAAGCGTGTCAGTTAGAACTTTCTGCAATGGTAGAAATGTCCTGCCCAGTAACTGCCAGCCACACATGTCTATTGGTTACTTGAAATGTGGCTGGTGGAACTGAGAAACTCAATTTCTGATTTTATTTATTTTGGATTGTCATTCAAACAGCCACATGTGGCTAGTGGCTACCATACTGGGCTGGTGTTCATCCTTGGTAGCATATGAGAATCACCTCTTAGCCCAGCCCCAAGCCATAGAACCTCATTTCATTGGTCTGGATGGGGACCCAGCAAAGATAAATATATATATTTTTAATTTCTCCCTGTGGTTGAAAGCCCAGGGAGAAGCTGCCCAAGAGAGTGTTGCTTGACGGGGAAACCACTTTGCTGAGATTGATCTATCTGCAGATAACTGGAAGATGAAACAGTGACTTCTTTTGACCCAGGGCTTTTTAACAAGGGCTTCTAAGAGAAGCTTGAAGTAAACAGGGAAAAGTTGCTCCCTCACACCCAATGCCCACTCTTTAAGAGCCTTGGTCCCAGTTTTGGTCCTTTGGTAGGCAGAGAAACACCTACTGCAGGGACATCAGACTCCCCCAGGGGAGCCTTGCCCCTGGAAGAGGGGACTTCCATGAGGGTCCCACCCCAGCTTTGGCGTGACAGGGATGTGACCCCACTTATAATGATGAGCAGGTATTTTCCAACACACCCTTTCAGGGATGTCCCCAGGGTCAAGTATCCCAGACCCCGAGCCCTTGTTACCTGTAGATGCCTGTGGGAGATGAGAAGGGACCTCTCTGTGTCCAGTCTTCCCTCCCCGTCTTGCTCCCTTGCCCAGCCTCTTGCCTCACATCCCCACAGAGCTTCTCCCACCTGCCCCTGATTGACAGCCATGTGGGGTCCTCTTCCCCTGCCTCTCTATCTTTTTCTCTCTTTAACCCTTCTTTGTGTCTGTCCTTTCTGACACATCTATCTCTTCACCTCCCTCCCTCGTGTCCCTCTTTCTCTCTCTCCTCTCCTTCCCCTCCCCTCGTCTCTTTTCTCCACAGACTTTCCTGGCCTCCAGCGGGGGACTGTATTGCCTGGGTGGAGGCTGCGGGAACGTTGTAATTCCAGGCTGCATGGGCCTGCCAGCACGCACGCCCGCCAGCTCCTGCCCTGCGCTCGCATGCCTAGGCCTGGCTGCGTGGATTGCATGGGGTGGATCAACATTCAGGCCTCCCTCCCCAGAGCAGGCCCCACCAAGGGTCTGGGCTTAGGGTGGGGCAGGGGCTCGGTGGACAGACGTGCATGGATAGTGTGGCTTCCTCATAGCCCTGGGAAATGGAGTGAGGGTTCACTCCGGCACCCTCTCTGCAGATGGGATCGATCACAGTCCAAAGAGAACTGTGATTGCTGGCAAAGGACCTTAGTGACAGTTCATCAGGCACAAGGCCTTTGGGGACTCAGGAAGCAGAGCAGGGAGGGCTCTCCCCTTCCAGAGTAATTAGTGTGTCTAAGGCTGGCACAGGGCAAAGGCTTGCCTGGCTTAGAACAACCGTGTGCAGGGTGGGAGTGACGGGAGCCACCACATTGAATTTATGGCAATTGAGCAGCAAAGCTTTGGGGAACCTTTGCACTGGGAGGACACTAGGGGAGGGAGCCCAAGAGGGCCACCAGGCTCCTCCACTCAGTGGCAGCTGGAAGAAAAAATGAGATGAGCAGGAGGCCCCAGAGGGCAGGCAGTGGGCCTGGCTGCAGCCTCATCCCAGGCGCATCCCTGCTGCTGCCCCTAAGCATGGGCTCACCACACTGCTGGGTACCACATATCCTCCTGGCAGCCTCCCAGCTGACCAGCCCCAGAGAATGTCCCACGCTAGTGGACAGCAGGGGCCAGAGGTGGGACTGGAACTCTTCCCCACTGCAAACATCACCCAAACATACACACTGCACCTCGCACCCCGCCCTGCCCTGCCCCTCGCCCTTCTGAGGAGCTGTCCCTAGACTGACCTCTGGGGCTGCCACCTCACAGGACCCAGATGAGAGCGCCCGCATCTCCAGTGCCTTCTTCCGCCTGTTCCGAGTCATGAGGCTGATCAAGCTGCTGAGCCGGGCTGAGGGCGTGCGAACCCTGCTGTGGACGTTCATCAAGTCCTTCCAGGTGCCAGTGCCCAGCCCCTTGGCTGGGGCCAGGGTGGGGTCTGCACAGGAATGGGTGGGGTCCTAGGTGGGAAACTGCACTTTTGCGGAGTGGCCACTAGGAACACCTCCATCAGGCTGGGGGAGGGGCGGCAGAGGTCGAGGTTGGAAGGCCAGAAGAGGAGGGCCTTAGGAAGCTAACAGAGGGCCAGGCTATAGGGCAGGTGGTGGTGGCCCATGGCCTGACACTCCCACCTGTCCTGTAGGCCCTGCCATATGTGGCTCTGCTGATCGTCATGCTCTTCTTCATCTATGCTGTCATCGGCATGCAGGTGAGAGGTAGACCGGCCCAGGCCGAAAGTCAACATGGACCTTGGCCAAGTTAGAGGAGGTTGTTAGTGCACCATGGGGAGCCTAATCAGCAGTCAGGACCCTCCAGACTCCCTGCTTCATCCATCCTGGCAGCCCAGGGGTTCAGCTGTACAGCTGGGAAAGGAGGTCGTGCACCTCCCTTACCCCTTGGCGTCTGCAGGGCTAGAAGCTTAGAAGTGACCTATAAGGAACTTGGCATGCAGATGGACATCAGAGGCCAGATCATGTCTTTAAGGCCAGACCTAAGGCCTGGATGGGCTCAGTCCACACTCCCCTACAGGCTTCCCTCAACCCCTAGACTGACTCCCCAGGTCTGCTTGCTACTGGGAAAACTGGTCCCCCACCTACTCTTCTTTGGTTTGGTGGGGCAAACTTCATCAGACTTAGAAAATAATCTAACTTATCTGGCTTCAGGTGGAATGTGGCCTGAAGTGAAGGGGACTTGGGGGAGGCAGGGGTGAAAGTGGGGAGGAGGCTGGACAGGAGAAGGCAGTGACAGATGAGCTTAGGGGACACTTTTATCCAGGTCCCAAAGTCAGAGCCCTTTGTGATTTGCAGATGTTTGGAAAGATCGCCATGGTGGATGGGACTCAAATAAACCGGAACAACAACTTCCAGACCTTCCCACAAGCTGTGTTGCTGCTGTTCAGGCATGAGCCCCCCACGCCACCCCACTGCCAGCCCAGCTCCTGCCCTGCTCTAACGTGCACAGAGCCAGGGCTGGCTTCACAGTGTGTGACCTGTGCAGTGACGCAGGGCCCGGCATTCAGAGGGGTACTCTGCTTGGTTTAATGCTCTGCTGTCACTGTCTTCAAGATTTTAACCATTTTTTAACAAGTAGTCCTGCATTTTCAGTTTCCATGGGGACTCTCCACTGAGTGGAGTACTACATATTCCTCTAATCTCATGCCACTGAAGCAGGAGACAGGGGTCAAATGTCCTTTCCTGGACATTGGGGTGGCTCCCAGAGTAGGGAGAGGCAGAGTGAAGAACTGGCCCCAGGGGAGAGAGTTGGGGA